AGTCGAGCGCCTTAATCACGAGGCCATGCCTAGCTGATATAATATGGCACAAATACATTAACCATCAAAATTCCAAAGAGTCAAACTTTGGCTTATTTAAACGAAAAATGCCTGACCACACTTTAATTATTATTGCCCTTTAGTAGCACAGCAGTATGTCTGTGGACGTATACTGCTAGAAACCGGGTTTCGATGCCCATGGTGAGCAGAGCACAGATGACTCTTTGTATAGCTTTGTGCTCAATAATTATTATATTTTTTTTACTTCCAGAAAATAACCGAAAGTCGATTATTTTGTATCAAGAATTAACAGTCTTTTCAAAATTCTAAAATAGTAAGTGTTATTGCTCTTGATACAAAAGCTTTCACCATTGTTAATTTTTCTTTGAAAAACCAGGTATGATGTGTAAAAAAAATTATGTAACAGCGTACCAAAAATATATTATTTCCAGCAAGAGTCATATTAATTAAGGCTTAGTGCTTATCTAGCGAAATATGTTACTACCTTTTATATTTTCATTCTCAAAACAAAAACATGATTTCGGTGATTACGAACCTCAAATCTGTTATCTCGTGACAAATTCATAAACACACCCTTAGGGTCAAACCGTAATGTTTTGTAGAAATTGCCGGCTTAAAATTTGCTTTTGATAAAAAAACTAATTGAATTACTTTATATCCAAAGTCTATTACCTTCTAACAATTTGAAAGAAAGAATGAGGCAATGTACAAACATACAATTATTATGTTACAATGGTTAACCCGATACAGGCTATTACTAAATCCATTATCTTAATGGGTAAAGCGTTTATTTATTTACCATCTTTCAATTTGCCTTTCTCTCGTCGTAACGGTCGATGAGATTATTTAGTGTGGAAAAATAATACATTACCAAACTAATAGATACGAAAGGTTTATTAAACCCTAGTGTTTAGAACATGCAATAAATGGGCAAAAGTGTTTTATTTAATATAGTTTGCCATTATAATATGTTCATTAATAAATACGTTATCTTAAAAGAAATCCAAAAGATAAAGTCTTAGTAACCTTATAATAAAACTTTAAGAAGCTTAAATTTCCTTTTCTTTAAAAAAACATAAGTTTTATACCATTTAAAATATTATAATATGCACATTATCTTAAAAATAATTTTTCCTTCCCCGGAAAAAGAACTTGATGTTTAACCAAAAATTTTGACCGTGTTTACACTTGCATTTTTTCCTAAGGTCCCTTGGTGGGTCAGCGATAAGTTTACAGAATTACAACACTAAAGTCCGAGGTTCGATTCCCCTCCGTGGTCAGAGTAGATAGCCCAATATGACTTTCGCTAAAAGAAACAAGCAATTCTATCTAAGTCTAAAAATACATGATCATTGAAATTTTGAAGTGCTTAGTCTTTGCATATTAGTGAAATTGTTGACCACTCTTGAGTTTGCTTTTTTGCAACAATTATAAAGAGTTTTGGTGTATTAAAAGCATGAGGAATTTTCAGCAATCCTAAGATGTTTTTGTAGCCAAATGTTCGACCTCCTTTAATGTTTAATTTTCTTTTGACTATGGTATTTTTACGACACGTATCAGATGGGTAATCCCGCAAATAACAACAGATTCGATGAAGAAATAACAGTAGTGTTCTGTCTTCGATAACTTGACTGGCTTTCTTTAAGTGTAATATAATGAGACTAGACAAATATGAACAAACTCTTTTATTATAACAAATAAACAGAAAGCACAGTGTGCATACTTGCACAGACGTAATCACAGTCGATTCTACTGAAGTACATTTAGCTCCTCTTTCTCTCAATATCGAATTTCTTTAAAATAACACGATGGCCTTCAACTGGGCCCGGCATGGCCAGGTGGCTAGGGAGCTCGACTTTCAATCTGAGGGTCGCTGGTTCGAATCCCTATCCCACCAAACATGCTTGCTCTTTCAGAGCGTTACAATGTGACGGTCAATCACACTATTCGTTGGTAAAAGAGTAGCCCAAGAGTTGGCGGTGGGTGGTGATGACTAGCTGCCTTCCCTCTAGTCTTATACTGCTAACTTAGGGACGGCTAGCGCAGATAGCCTTGTGTAGCTTTGCGCGAAATTCAAAAAATAAACAAAACAAAAAACAAGCCTTCGACTATGATCCTCTATCCACGATCTTCTAGCAGAAATGGCTATAGTCTGTTTATACGCAGAGCTGACTCTAATTGTGAACTGTCAACTATACGCACCGCCAGCTCTTGGGATACTCTTGTCTGATCTATTAGTAGAATATCACCATCACTCTTATAATGCAATCACAGTCCTAGAGAGCAAAGAGCATTTCGGGGTTAAGGTTTACAAACCATGAATCCTCAGATTCACTCCGGGTATACTAACCGTTAGATCATGCTTATGACCGAGACTTTAAAACGATTAACACTGGTATTTAGTATTCTCAACTTTATTCAACACTTTGGATAACCGTCTAGGTCAGAGATCCTTGGGAATCAGATATGGCTGTCCTTAATTTTGAACTATTGATCAGAGAGAAGAAAGCCTTCAGTAGCGCCCACCGCTTCAAGAGTTTTGTTCAGATTTGAACAGAATAAGGGGATTTAATGTTACTCTCATGACACACTCACAGCTGAAAATGTAAAAAAAATATTCAGCAGAGTCGCGATAAACCTTGACTCCTCCGATAAGCAGCTCAGTTGTTAATCCCTAATCCATGTCCATTCCCTGTCAACGCAAGTTAATTGATAAAGGGGCAATAATATATCTGTGATTTTCTGAAACACCCAAATCACTTTAAGTAAAAAATAATAATAATAAATAAACCATTGCTTTTTACATTTCTTCTGCTAAATGTATGTACTTGGTCATGACATGCGAAAAAAAATTAAAATTTTTCATATTTCATTTGGGAAAATTATATTGATTATTGCATTTCATAAAATCAATTATTTTATAAACACTGTAATAGCTGAAACCTTTATAATTTGTTCTAAATTGTTTGTCGTAAATTGTGCTTTTCTCTTGCTAAATGCTCAATAGTTTGTCTAAGAAGTTATGACGATAAAAATCTGGGTTCGAAACCTCTTTTAAGTAGAATAAATAACCCATTGTTTAGCTTTTCGCTAAAACAAACAAACTCGAACTAAAATAAAGATGTCATCGGAAATGCAAAAATATATTCTTTGCTTTGGTGAATTTTTAAAACTTTTTTAATTTGCTCCTTTTATTTCACGTGAATCTTTTGTGCTACATTTAAAGAAGGTCATATTAAAATGAAACATGAAATACAAATTTGGAAATGGGCAAAGGTTTTGATGAAATCAACTTGGCTTACCCGTTCAATTTTTTACGAAATAAGTGGGTTAGTCCTTCTACCAGAAAATATCTTATTTATTTGTTTGAAGTTAAGCACAAAGCTACACAATGGGCTATCTTTGCTCTGCTCACCACTAGTATCGAAATCAGATTTCTAGCGTTTTAATTCCGCAGACATATCGCTGTGCCGCTGGGGGGATGGTGGAAAAGAGAAAGAGGTTGAGTCCAAATATATAAATAACAATTTTCCCTACAAGACAATCCGCAGGCACTAGTGGTAAATTTTATTTTACAGAGATATCTTATGCAAAACGACATTTTATGATAAGAAATGTCCTTCGTAAGGTACCAAGGTTTAGGATATACAATGTAACGGACTGATGATACGCCATTAATAAAACATAATCCTTTTTTTTTTCAGAAAATTTGAAGGTGGATAAACTTTTCTCTCAGAACAGTCAGGCTTAACGTATTGACTTTCATTTAGTGTGAAATAACTGCTAGTTTGCTTGTTCACTTGAACAACACCATGTGCACATGGTGAACTAAACAGAGACTGTTATGGTTCTGTGCACCATTGGAAAGGCAACCAGTCGGCAGACACTTGCTGGCTGAAGTAGCTACTTTTTAGCCGAATATGAGATTGACTGTCACTCTTGTAATGAATCCACAATTGAAAGTGCGAAGCGTGTTTGTTAGTACACTGTCTCGAACTCAAGATCTTCGAATCCCTAGTCCTATACGTTAGCCGCTAGACAATGCTCGGGCCCGTATGAAATATCTGAATTCTTTTACTTCATATCTGATAGATACAAAAAGACAAGTTTGAAAGTGGTCAAAGTGTTCACTAGAAGTACCAGGGCTTAAATTTTTGAAATTTTATAAGATAATGGATTAGTTGATAAGGCTTAACTGAATTCATAATTCTGATTAAAAAAAGTGTATTTTCAGCTGCCCAAAATTTCCGATAATAACACCAACGCTTTAGAAAAAGAGTAACCTTTCTTGGAGATGAACGGCAATTTTAGAGGTAATTATTTCACGAAAAAAATTGAAAAAAAGATCAAGGCTGAAGAAGTAATAAAAAACTCACATCCTGACATAACAAAATATTTTATTATATATTGTTCTCCCTGTTTTCTTTACATGTTAAGTTGTATATAGGGTGCTGCAAAAGTTGCTCAGCATCATGATCTAAGTCCTGTTCGTACTATGATTTTTCTAGGTAATGTTTGTGTTTTATTAACTACTTCTTGCTGTTTTATTAAAATAACTGATGAGATATCATTAATATTGTAAAATCATATAGAATTGATCCTGTGATGTGGGGATCCTGCACGGTCTTCTGCTACGCGACTTTTGCGTCCAATAACTCACAGTTAAAGAATCCAAAGTGATCGTTTGGGTGAAGTCACGATGATGAATCCACTAAGTTTGAATGAAGCCATTATGCTTGAATGAGACCATGATGATGAAATCATTATATTTAGATGAAGTCATTATATTTGGATGAAGTCATGATGATGAAATTATTATGCTTATATTAGGACAAGATGATAAAATCATATGTGTGGATGAACTTATGATAGTCTTGAAGTACACAAAGCTCTAAAATGACCCTATTTATTCATACATGAAGCTACCGTTTCTGCTTATTTCCTAATAATATTTCTATACAAGAAAAAATACACAGTAGTATAATCACAAATTTATTTAGAAGGAAATTCAGGGTTATGCAACATTTTAATGAGAATTCGTTGTAACAACAATTCATCATGATAAATCAAGTAATAACATAGATCAAGAATGTAGCATAGCCTAACGAATGGCAAAATTTACAATATTTTTGTGACAACTGCCTAAGCAGAAGGAAACAAAACACTTTTAATGACTACAGTTTAATACGAAAATAGTGGTGCATCACCTCCAGCCTACTAATACTTTAATAAAACATTAGAGTCATACACACACAGCTTAAATTACTATATTATGTTCTTATTTATCAACATTTTTGTTTCGTTCTCTACATACATTATTCTCAAAGTAGTGGTACATAGGATTACATTTTTGCTGGTGGTTAAAAAGAGAAGGGAAATAGTGTGATTGAATACATATTATAGATAAGATATTTAAGTAAATATTAACTCTTCTAAACAATGTCACTCATATTAAGAAAATGACATCGTTATGTAGACATCAGCTTATTAGAATGACTACAGGATTTACATATGTAATCATATAACCTTGGTATGATAGTTGCAAAGTATTTTACAATTAAATATATTTGAATAAACACGTTAAGACATTCATTTTCTCCAATAACATACTAGTATTTTGTTATTAATACTGAATCTAATCAAAAGATATTCGTTCATAATGCATTGTAAGTGTGTCATCATCAGATCTGCACAATAACAGTTCTAGTTCCGTCATGTATACATTTAAAAGTAAATACCTTCACTTATGAAAACTGATTTCAAACAACTGTAACCAACATATGATTTCAACACTCCCTGTTTGCTGTGTATATGTAGGATGTTTCTGTATAAATATATACGTTTACAAAAAAAAAAGAACGTTGGAACTCATATGTGTTAAATACGTGGTTGAACTAGATATCACAATATATTAGTGAATTAAAACGACACTTAGGAGGTCTACACGGGCCCGGGCCTGGCCGGTGGGTTTCGAACCAACCCGTTCCGCTGAATGGGTAATAACAATAACAACAACAAAAAAAAGATCTGGGGTCGGGCTTGGATGAAAAGACTTTTGTAAAACGTATTTGTAAAAGATCAGGATTTCTCGGACTTTTCGCTTAATTTTTTCAACTTTGTTTAAAAAATATATTTTTTGAAAAAAGGTAACCTAACCCCATAGCTGTGGCAAACCAATACTTATTTGATAGTTTCATAATTTTTTATGCTCGGTATCAGAGGCACCGCTTTAAGGACATTTGTAATCCTACAAATAATGTCTGACACTTCTTTTGAATCAATTGTTAAAACGACCATATTAAGTGCAACCATAATCTTGATAAGTACATTGTTTAAGCAGTGAAAATGTAGACTGTTTCTGCACAATAACATGGAGTAACAATGCAGAGAGTTGGTTGAGGCTGGTAATACATTAAATGTAGTTAATATAACAGTTTGTATTATTACCTCATCATTCTCTATCTTGGCAGGCTGGAACATAAAAATTGTTCGCCTTGACCTTCCCACTCTCAACCGATGCTGCCGATCTTGTGAGTAATACTTCGTTTAAGCTTCGGGCCTAAGTCGAGTTTAGTGTGAAGAAAATCGTGAATTGGGCAGGCTCGAGAAACATATTGTAAAATCCGTCGGGTTCTGACCAGATAACCGCCGGGCCGGGTAAACTTCTAAAATTTCGGCCTGTGCAGATCTCTACGACACTGTAGCTGTTTCGTAAAGAAAGGTTGGGACTTAAAAAAACAGCTAAGGTGTCTCATGCTGTTCACACGAGACAGTTTTGTGATATAACCAGTTAAGTGCTAACCCAATATGTAATGAGATGTAAAATCTTACTAGTGGAAATCGTCTCCCTATTGGAGAATTTAAACAAAGAAAGAAAATGTACATGTATTCTAGATAACTAACACTGTACAATTCTGACAGACATTTAGGGGTTTCATGACCTTGAGGGCTTGGAAAACTATAGTATGAAACAAGGAAAATGAAAGTTCATTTGAATTTCGCGCAAAGCTGCACGAGTGGTGCCCGCGCTAGCCAGCCTTAATTTAGCAGTGATAGACTAGAGTTACTCTTTTACCAACGAATAGTAGGATTAACCCCCACGTTAAAACGCCCCCACGGCTGAAGGGGCGAGCATATGTGGTGGGACGGGAATTTGAACCCGTGACCCACAGACTGCGAGTCGAGTAGTTTAGCCATCATGCCAATTAGATTTGGCAATAAACCTTATTATATGAAACATTTCATTCGACACTATATGTCAAATCTCGGTGACTGACCTAGCTGACCTGATGATATTTACCTAATCATGACCTGAGTTTTGCTGCCTGATATGAGCCAACGTATTTCATGTTAGACCTGGCTTTTTAGTATGTTATTTTTAAATGGCATTATGAAGGCAAATAATTCTCTGGTAGCTTATGATATCTCGAAACTGGAAAGTGCTGAAACCAGTGTTGATCGTAATTTAAATAGTGCTAATACTACACAATTTATATCTACCTACTGAAACACCAATATTAAATTATTCCATCAAGTTTAACACTTTTAACACGACTGAGAAAAACTGCTGAAAATGAAATTTTTTATTGATTATCATTTTATGCCAATAATTGGCGTGCTTCGATCGGGAAGACAGTGTTTTCCACTTCATCATGGGTACTTTACTGTACACAAGCATTTATTCTAGTTTTATGAAATCTTAAGGAATACCAGGTTTATATGATAATACTAATATTTAAGAAAGTGTTGAACCTGGATCGCAGGCTGTATGAGTCAGTAGTAAAACTAGACGAAAGACTTCGTCACTGTTTTACGTGAGAAATAATGCTAGTTTTAAACGTATGAGAATTAAGACATGCGAAAGAAGACTATATTAAGCTTATCGAGGAATCACGTGTAATTAAGCAGCAGGTTTTGTTTCTGGCCTATTCTGAGCAGATTATTAATCTCTAGAGTAAACTCTATTCAAACAACTGTGGATCGGGGAAGGTCATCGTACAGCACTTCTCTGGAACATTCCTTGTAGACGTGAAAATCTGCAGTTGTGGACATGGTATTACAGGTTATATCACGGGGAAGACGAGGGAAGTGGTGACACTTTAAGTCACGCATAGATATTGAAAGGGATACTCCATTGTCGGTAACGCGCCCTCTGGAGAGAGACGAGCAAAATGAGGACTCTTGAGAATAATCTTGCGTAGGATGATATCGTGTTGTAAGTTTGTCATCTTCAGGCAAAACAAAGTCAAAATATTTCAGTCTTTCATTTTCTTTTTTGTAATCATACTTATACCAATGGATATACAGAGAGATTGCAAATATTCCAGACAATTCACACAACAGGATACCTGTCACAGCTAAGATAAAACAATAACCATAACGGTAGCTCAATAATGGCCCTTGAAACGATGACTTGGATTGAAGCTTGCTGCCAACCTCAGCTTTAAAACTTGATATGTAGATGACGACTCCCATTAAGATGAGAAGACCTTAAAAATAAAATATGTACATATAATTTATTCAGTACATTTTTCAACGATAAAATTGATTTTATAACAGCTGCACTGAAGTTTGACTCATAACTCTAAAGTTTGAATTAAATACAATTGTTGAACTTGTCATTTTAGTCATTTAAGACTAAAATTTGTCCTTCTCTTTTTTTTCAGTAGATATACAATAGACAGGCATTTGAACCTTATCCTTGGAAGTATCAGACACTTCAATTCCAAAACAAATTATCCAAAAAAAAGCCAATTTAACATATGCAAATATTAAGAAGGTATTCTTTTAGTATTTTAAACTTTCTCTAAGAGTTTTAGGTAAGGTTTTTGAAGTCGTACTAAAGCCATAGAAATACCCTTTAAACAATATCAATAAAGCATTGCTTGGTATACCAAAAATTACCTCAACATAATTTCTGAAAAGGTTTCCAATAGCCTGAACATCAAAGATTATATTTAATTATGTTCAGTAAATATTTTGGTACCTATAAGAACCGAAAAAAATCACTCTTAAAACATGTGTAAGTAACACTGATACCGTAGAAATTACAGCTGGTAAAAGATATGCATAAAATGCTAACAATCGTATTAGAATAAATGATTTTTAAAATATAACAAATTGATTTTATGGTCCAAATGCTTTATGTTTAAATTTTTATATAATACCAGAGCCTACGCTCAAAGGACTTGAACACATAATAAGATTTCAGTATCATTCTAAAGATTTATGAATGAAAGTAAAGAAGAATGTATAAAAATATGTAAGTCACACTATATCTGCTGCATTCATTATGGTTCATATTCTATGTTTATTATGACACTGCATGAAGTGGCTGGGATACATTAGACACAGTAGTGGTTCATATTCTATGTTTATTATGACACTGCATGAAGTGGCTGGGATACATTAGACACAGTAGTGGTTCATACTCTATGTTTATTATGACACTGCATGAAGTGGCTGGGATACATTAGACACAGTAGTGGTTCATACTGCAGTGTCATAATAAACATAGATGAGGTGTTGGGATACATTAGACACAGTAGTGGTTCATATTCTATGTTTATTATGACACTGCATGAAGTGGCTGGGATACATTAGACACAGTAGTGGTTCATACTCTATGTTTATTATGACACTGCATGAAGTGGCTGGGATACATTAGACACAGTAGTGGTTCATACTCTATGTTTATTATGACACTGCATGAAGTGGCTGGGATACATTAGACACAGTAGTGGTTCATACTCTATGTTTATTATGACACTGCATGAAATAGTTGGGATACATTAGACACAGTAGTGGTTCATACTCTATGTTTATTATGACACTGCATGAAGAATAACTGTTACTAATTTATAACACAATATCGTGTATTTAAAACCAATTAATTAATGTTTATTTAGTTGACTGAACACAATAAAATATATTCTTCATAAATTTTCAGTAATGTCTATTTTAGATTCAGGTTTTTTATTGGTTGCATCAGAAGTGAACAATTACATCCCTGCTTAGGGACCTCAATCATATATTGAAGATCAAAGAACAGTTAGGAAAACAAAGCCCACTTTTAAACTTCACTCAGCTGCAATACGTAGAAAACTTCAGTAAAATATGGTTTGACTAAATTATCTTTTATACAAAATTTTATAAATCGTTTTAACAAAACGTACGCCCTCTATCCTGATTATATCCGAGTCAACTTTCTTTAAGTGTATATGTGTCATCTTCTCCAAATGTCCATTTTTGTATTTAATTTTATTTATGCATTAGGGTTCTCCCAAACATATTACTTTACCCTGTAGCTGTATTTGGTGTGGTTTGTTATTGTTTTATCAACTCCCTCTGGACTGGTGTGGCCAGGTGGTTAGGGCGCTTGACTCGTAATCTGTGGGTTTCAGTTTCGAATCCCCGTTCCATCAAATATGCTTGTCCTTTCAGCCGTGGAGGCGTTATAATGTAACGGTCAATCTCACCCAAAAGAGTAACCCAAGAATTGGCGGTGGGTGGGGATGACTAGCTGCCTTCCCTCTAGTCTTTCACTGCTAAATTAGGACCGGCTAGCGCAGATAGCCCTTAAGGGCTGAAAGGGCGAGCATGTTTGGTGTGACAGGGATTCGAACTCGCGACCCGCAGATTGCGAGTCGAGCGTCCTAACCACCTGGCCATGCCGGGCCTCAATAAAAAGAGCTAACAAATTTGATCGTCAAGCTGTTTAGATCTCTCTTTCAGTCAATTCCAAAACACTTCAGTCAACTTCTCACTACAACCACGTAACTTGGACCAACAACATCTACATGGTCTACTCTACTCCACTTACCACAGACTTTTCTCATGAAACTATTACCAGATATATTCTAAAATCCTACACGTATCCCTCGATTTACGAACGTTAGGTTTACGTTTTTCCGCTATAACGTAATTAACTTTTATGGGGATGTTTTTCGATTTGAATTCACATTTTTCGCTGTAACGTAAATTTACGTAAAAGTCGTAAAGAAATTTTAGTCTCCCAAGATCACCATTAACCGTCGTAGCCTCTCCCTCCTCCCGTCATTTCGACAAGCAAAGCAACAACTACTTCTTCACGAATACAGTATATTACGTGTTGTATTTTATTAATGAAAATTGCTTTTTATTTCGGAAGAAAATGTTACGTTAATGTGGCGAAAAGGTTTGGGTCAGGAACGCATCTCCTATTTCTTACCTTTAAAACAATGAGAAAAACGTTTTCGATTTACATTTTCTCGTTATACGTTACGTTCTCCAAGAACGTATCCCTTTCGTAAATCAAGGGATACCTATATATATATAGGTGTTACTCTTTATGAAGTCGGAGAATTGATGAGTCCAATTCCACTTTCTCCAACACTTAAAAAACTAACAGATATTTATTCATTTTGTTTCATACTCGAGAGATAGAGCAGCAATAATGTGGATCAGCTTGTTAAAGAAAAACTAAAATAATTATCAATCATTAGTAATTGTTTCAGAATTCGTTATCACAAGGCAAATAAAACGAGAAAGCTTTTTAAGGATGTTAAACATATCCCTAAGACATACCCTGTAAAACTGATTGATTCACTTCTATGTAATAAATTCATTAAATGAATTCATTTTAGAAATGTACGTCAGCTGAAAAAATATAACACTATTACTATTATACGTAAACTGATCAACTCCCATGGAACATTAAATCCCTAATTTGGAAAGGACGGGTCAGAATCATTGGATAGTTGATATGACGGCAACTTGTGACTGAGACAAAAGCCCGAGAAAGTTACAAAACTAATAGAACAAATCCAATGAGTAGTGACTATCCCAGGTAAAGTATTTCTAACATGAAACTTGTTTTAGTAATGAAAATAAAGGAACAATACTTGGAAATAATAATTAAAATGAAAGGGACACCTAAGACAACTAAGTAAAAACATTTGACACATATACAGTTAATAACACATCTCACTATAATTAAATATCCTAAAAAATATTTCTTTCTTTCAGATATTTGCATAAAGCTACACAAGGACTATTTGCGCTAAAATCCCCAATTTTGAACTGATAAATTAAAGGGAAAGCAGTTATTGAACAGCAGCCAATTCTTAAGTTACTCGAATCGAATAGAGCAATTTGATCATAATTCTTATTATGTACCCATGCTCTCAAAGTGTGGGACACAATTATTTTTGTGTGGTAGCAAACCATGGGCCTCCGGAACTACAGTCCGGCACGCTAGCTACTGAGCACGCACGAAAAGGATCCAGAAAGAGGTCCTAGTCAGATCTAAAGAAAGATAATATCATTAGTGATGATACCCCTAATGATAAGTCAGAAAACCATTGATTACTTGATATTGAGTGCACATTTATGGTGTCATGAATAAAATAATTATTACTTTCTTTACGGTAGAAGTTTCTCCAGTGGCTCTGTGGTAAATGTGCAGGCTTATACAATGCTAGAAATTTGATTTCAATAGCCGTGGTTAACAAAGTACAGTGTGTACCTTTGTGCTTAATAAAAGCAAATCAAACCTTTTCCAAAAATATTACTGTTTGAAGAAATATGCTAGCATCCATATATAAGGAATGGGATGTCATGATGATTGATAGTAATTATTGTTTGACCAAACATCAGCTCCAAGATTGGAAAAAATACATAGATTCTGTAACAGGTTGCACTGTTACAGACTGCAAGCAGCAGTAAGACTCTAGCTAAAACAAAAGATTGTCAGTGTTTCTATTGGAAGCATCTTTGTGCAACATGAAATGTGGAAACTATTTTAATGAATAAATGTGACAAATGTTTTATAAAAGGTTCTTAATAACAGATGAAAACTCCTTCTTTACTGCATGGTGATTGTCACATCTAAAATTTAACTTTCGTTGTTTATTCAATTGACAGTTATTATCCAAACTAAAATTGAGGCACTCACAAATGACATACATAAATGTAAGTTTGGTTGATGTATAATATAGATATTTAAGTTCTTGTTCAGAAAATGCTGAAATGAAGGATCTTAGTAGACCACCAATATAGTAGAGATATGATAAAAATAGTAAAGTGGAATGTAAAAGTTGGTTACTCCAGTAGATTGAAGATCATGAAAGGAAGAAAGTGGAAATATACTGACAACAAACATTAGTCAAATTCATAATGTGTGTGTCCCTACAAAACAAGACGATGTAATCAAGAAAACAAAAGCAAAGAAACAACAAAGAATGAAGGAGCCGAGTACTAGACTGTGTATATTACCCAACAAGCCCGTACCCAAGTCTGGAAGTGGGGTTTTCTTTTGTTCCAAGGTAGAACTCGTTTCATGTGTAACTTTAGTGCCCAGGGACGAAAAAAAAACCAAAATATGTAATGATTCCTTTATTATCACAGCAAATAAACATTTTTTAGTAAATTTCCTCTGATAAGTATGCAAATATTATTTCCACATGTATGCACTGTGTTACGAAAGTAATTATATAATGAGAGGCCATCA